TCCACTATGGTGGCGATGGTATGCGGCACTGTAATACCGCGCGTCAGTCGTGCATCTGTTATCAATGTAACGATACAGTCTTTTTTGGGAACTGGAGGGGTTGATAACAGGCAGACGTATGTTACAGCTCGAGGCGGCAAGCGAACAAAAGTGTTTGGACCCAGGCGGTTGACGGGCTTTTCACAGGCATCAGAGAGAAGGGGAAGGTCGAGGCTGAACGTGCCAGAATAGTCGATTAAAGCCGAGTGTGCTGAGAATAAATCAAGGCCAAATATGAGGTCATGGGGGCAACAGTCTAGAACGGCAAATAGGACTACGGCATGATGACCAGCAATGTTGACATGAGCAGTGCACCTTCCGACAACTTCTACAGCGCCGCCATCGGCAACCTGTATGGTTTGAGTCGTAGAGGGCGTCATGATCTTCTGTGAACGGTGGCGTAGATGTGCGCTCATAAGAGATAGGTGGACGCCTGTGTCAACAAGGGCAGTAACAGGAACATTGTCGACTTTTACTTCAATGGGACTGTGGCGTGAGTAGCGTCAGTAGAGGGTTTCCGGGCGTCGTTGGTGTTGCAGATTCACCTCCATAAGCTGCAACATCTAGTTTTCCTGTTGCGATCGCCCAGAGAAGCTCGGCGAGGAAAAGCGCCAAAAAGGCGGAGAGCGGGATTGATGGCGTAGCCGCGATTGGGAGTGGGAGTAGCGGCGACCGGAAGAAGCGGCATCAGTGGGGAGAGGCCCATGAGGAGGCGGCGAGTAAAAGTTGGACGGTGTAGCAGCTGGACGTCCAGAAGCGGTAGGGCGCATATAAATAAGGTAGGTCTAACGTGGTGGTTTGGACCAGCGGCGACGACAATAACAAGAAATATGTCCAGGTTGATGACAGGAAAAGCAGATAGGCTGGTCATCGTGGGTTCGCCATTACGTAGGGTTCCGGAAGGGCAATGATGGAGCAGATTAGCGAGCGTTACCTGAGGAGTATGGGCGTACTTCAGGGTGAGTAACGGGACACGCTGACGGAAGGCCGAGATTAGCGAACTCCTGCCTTACCACAGCTTAAGTAGGGCTACCGATGGCTGTGATGGGTCAGTGACTTGAGTTGTAAAAACAGGCAGTTTAATGTGAGATGCACAGGTAGCTTCAAGCTCCCAACGAAGAATTTGGGGGACGTGGTCATATCTGGGTGGTTGGCGAGCGATTTCACATGATGAAGTTGCCGCCGTGTTGGGCAGTCGCGTGACTCTCTACGTCATGCGGTGGCTCTTAGCGGGTTCAAACCGCCGGCAGTCTTTGATGAATTCATCGATGGTGGGGACGTTAGTGAATACAAGCAGGTTGAAGGCATTGTCGGGGATCCCTTTAAGCACATTCGATACCTTTTCAGGCTCGGGCATGTGTTCGTCAACCTAGCGGCAAACGGCGATGACACCGTGAATATATGCGATGTAGTATCTGGCAGGTGTCTGCGCCCGAGTAGCCAACTGATTTTGCGCAGTGATCTGTCATGCCGTGGTGTTCCCAAAAAGGTCAAAGATCTTCTCCTTGAAAATGTTTCAGCTGGTAATGTCGGCTTTGTGCGTCTCGCACTACACCCATGGAGGGCCGTCAAGGTAAAAAAAAAGGTTGGCAAGCATGAGTGTCGGGTCCCTCCTAAAACTGGCGCTTATCTGTTCATACAAGTGTAGCCACTTGTCAACGTCAAGGCCATCCTGTCCGAAAAATACGCCAGGTTCCCGAGCAGGAGATAGGACATTGTAGGTAGGAGCCACAGAAGAGGTGGGTGGTGAAGACCATGTACCTTGAACCTGTGACATGGTTGGACCCGTGATGATATGCGGCCGTTGCGGAGCTTCGTGATGGGTACAGGGAAGAACCAGCACGTCCACCACAATATATAGCATATCAGTTCGGCAACATGTCATGTGACTGAAACCACCACAAGGAAAGCAAGACCAAGAAATGTAAATTATGGCATTCTTGAGATACAAGTGACGATTTGCATGTTACGACATGTCACTTATGCCGTTATACCGAATTTGGTATCGGTACCATTATCGAAATAGCTAGGAGAGCTAAATGTCGCAGGTGACTTAATAGATAGATAGATAGATAGATAGATAGATAGATAGGTAGATAGATAGATAGATAGATAGATAGATAGATAGATAGATAGATAGATAGATAGATAGATAGACATGCTCCAAGTTGTCGAAGTTTGCTCAGGAAATGTCACATATGAAATCGAGCCCTTAAGTATACATTAAGTATACACTTGCTTCGTTCATTGATTAAGAGGTTTCGATCTGGCAGGCTTCGTGCCTTAGGTTGCACACGAGAGATTATTGGTCAGCTGCTAGCTCGAAATAAGTTCGCGTTCTACGCGACGCCAATCACGCTGATAAATAGTGTTCCACACTCACCTCCAAGGCTGCTAGGGGAACCCAATGACTCTTCCAAGGTTTAATTCACATTTGACCCAATAAAGTGGATGGAGAGAATTGTCGTAGAAGCTCAGTTGGTCGATCATTGAACGCGTTATTTAAATGACGCAGGTTCGGTTTCTGCCCACGGCAAGTTGTCTTTTCCTCCGCATTTCTTTCTTCACATTTACATGAAAGCTAGGTGTAAAACTTTAACTTGTATTTTCTTCCCACCATTGGTAGTTAGATCTGACTAGTATTGTGTCTAACAAGAAAAATAAAACTAGCCCTTGAGTATAAAGTTCCTTCCTTCATTCTTTACCGACGGTCTCGTTATGGCAGATTCGGTGCCTTAGGACTCATAGAAGGGAGTATTGGTCAGCTTCCAGCTTGCAATAATATCACGTGTTACGTGATGCAAAACAGGCTGTTAAATAGTGTTCTACAGTCACCGCCAATGCTGCTGGTTGCACTGAAGTTCACTGCCGTTGATGAAAAAGGAGAAAGTGCGAGGTAATTATATTAGGAAATAGGAATGGGCCCATAGAAGATATGAATCAATATACTGACCTAACTGGCAGAATGCCTATGCTTATGTGTGAAAGGCATGATGTAATAATTTTTGCAGTACCAAAAAGTGCTAAGGGTAGATATTATGCGAGGTGGAAAGACTGGAGTGGACGATAGATTATGTAATGATGCCACGTAGGATATATCATCGGCTAAGGGTAATGAACATAGATGATTATAGGACCAGAAGCTTAGGTAGTGATCACAAACGTATCAAGCTGAGTTTTCGAAGAGAAATAAAAATGAAAAGGAGGCTTTATGAGCAACCACGTGGTCCACAAATGCTGCTATGGCTGCTGGTGAAATCGGCTCACTTTCGCAAGTTTTTTTTCAGATTTACACCCAACAAAGTGGATAGGGGGATAGCCGCCTTGGTAGCTCACTCGGTGGAGAATCGAACGCGTTATTCGAAGGTCGCAGGTTTATTAACGGCAAGTTATTTTTCATTCACTTTGCTGTTTTCAAGTTTACTTTACATTTAGGTGTAACATTTTTCCTATCTCGATATCAATGAGAAATGACGGACAATTATACCAAAAACGTATAGGGGGTGTGATTAGTAGTGATTGTAATCTAATGAAGAAGAAAAAAAAACGTTGTACCTGTAATATTAGTTGCTTCCAGTTCCTATTAGCATCACATGCTACGGGAAGCCAGCAGACACCTAGTTCGTGTCCCACATTCACCTTAATGGCAGCATGCGGCGCTCACTCACAATCGCAGGTTTAAATGCACATACGCACCCCATGAAGTGAACGGGGTTATAGCGGCAGCAGTAGCTCAGCTGGTGGAGCATAGTATGCGCTATTCGAAGGTGGCAAGTTAGGGTGCTGCCCATTACAAGTTATTTTTTCGTGCAGTTTTATTTCTTCACAATTGCCTAGCAATTATTTCTAAGAAGATCTCTATAATATTTTTGGCAAATTTATCCGTCATTTCTCAGTAATATTGTTCCTACAAGTTGTACATCCCTGCCCCTGCGTCTACATACATACATACATGTATGTATGTATGTATGTATGTATGTATGTATGTATGTATGTATGTATGTATGTATGTATGTATGTATGTATGTATGTATGTATGTATGTATGTATGTATGTACGCGTGCGCTGATATTGTGTACTTGTATATTCTCTAGAAATCTCAGACCATTGTTCCTTTTACCCTTCCCCCCTTTTACGACACTTTTACCCACGCAATGTCAAATCATTTTCATCTCCCGAAATTTCCTCTGGCTTCCTCTTTCGTTTTTTGTCTTTTCTTATTTTCATCTTCTCAAGTCTACGTCGCGCCTAAGTATATTGGCCATTCTGTATTTCCTGGACTCCTACAATGACGGCCGATGTACGCGTTTGCTCTTGACTTTACAATTTTTTTCTAGAATTACACTCAGGGCCACATACGTGTTCTTTAGACGACTCTCTTCCAGTAATTCGCAGTCCGCATGTTATCTTGAAAAAAAAAAACACGCTCCCCGTCACCTCACGCGCTTCAGTTGGTGCTTCTTATTCAGAGGCATTTCTTCGCGAAATTGGGGTGCGAAAAAATATCCCGCAGCCTTCGCAATAGCATGGCTAAGCACACCTCTGTGGGTGATCCTAATGTCTTTCGAGCGCTGCTCTTTCCTTCCTCGTGCCTTTGTCGGCTATCACTTTGCAGTACCACTCTCGTTTTGTTCATTTTGTAGGGTCTCATTTCTCCCCGATGTTATTCATGAACTACGTTACTACCTTTTTAAAGGAGCAAAGTATACTGATCAGCTTTATAGTTTTATTTTCGAGACGGTGAGTACAAAGAAAGACAAGCACCGCCGCTGGTCGTGGCACCAATAATAACTCCCATAAAAATGTCTAGAGAGGAATGGCAAGGCACATTCCACAATAACAGGGCCTCCTATCGAAACGTCTGCTAGACTTTCTGAGCTATTCTTTCCCGCTTATTGAACCTAGTCTACCAGTGTGCCTCAATGTTGCCAACTTTATGTCATTCATTCTTGCCTTCTTACCTGAAGGTTCTTAACTAAGGGCCTTGGGTCCATGGCCCACGTCTTGGAGTAAACGTCAAACTGTAAATGAAGCAAAAGACAAAGGTGGTGCGTTTTAGCTACCAGCACGGCAAAGAACAAGGGCTACAGACACTCTGAGGTGACAAGCATATATACCAAGTATAAACTTGATGACCGACTGAATACTTTTGTTTGCGATCATAGGTTTACAGCAAGCATGAAAAAGGTATTTTTACTAAGAAAAAATTATAAGTTACGATGCCTTCTTTTCGAATCCAGTCTGTGATCTTTAATGACCAGTGTTTATCCTGCGTATGCGCTAAGTGCAGGGCCCTTGTCCATTTACTATTTTCAATTTCAAATATTATATTCTTAACACCGCTTCGTTCCCTGACCCACTCTGCTCTTTTGTTGTCTCTTAAGGATCCACCGATAAGTTTCCTTCCCATGGCTCACTGCATCGTCCACAGTTTAAGTTCAAACTTCTTTGGAAGCCTCCATGTTTATGATATAGGTACGCACCGTGAAGATGAACCTTATATATTTCGTTCTTTTAAGAAATAGTAGTACACTACCCTGCATGATTCGAGAATGCTGGCTGAATAGGTTTCACCCCATGTTTATTCTTCTAGTTATCACACTCTCCAGGTTCAGCCACATGGTGAACGCCTGCACGGGTGACAGAAATTTAGATGTGCAGATAAGATTGGGAAGTTTGCAGGTATAATATGCCAGTAACAAGATGAACCGAGTTTATTTGGGAAAACTTGGCACAAGATTTTGCTCTGCAGTGGGCATAGTCGAGCTGATGACGCCTGTACAGCGCAAGTGTACACAAAGTCGCACTAGCAAATGCTAAACTTTGATCAATTGCCGAATATGACGTTCAATATTTGTGTGGCATCTCGCGAGTCAGTATTACAGCCGTGAGTGGCCTTTCGTTCTATAATATGGTCATTTGAAACTGCAATGAACTGTCCTTGAAAAATAGCCACAATGAAATATTCCTGAAATCACGTCGAAGCCCGCATGGCTGCGTCAACGCAGTGAGGCATCCTTTTTTTAGGCAAAGTATACACTTCCTTCGAAAAAAAAACCAATGGGCTTAATTCTATTGGTGGCAATCATATGCTTCTACTCACAATGCCTACTGTGTAAGCAACATTGATGTGAAGGTTTTCATCGTACCCTTTCAGTTTCCCTTGCATTTGTAAAACGCGCTAGCGGCCAATGAAACTTAAGTGAGAATGGGGCATGGTTTATTTTGTTATTACTTGTTTGTGTGCGTGTCGGCAAGTTTCATTTCATTTTTTCAATGTTTTTCTTTCCCCTATTTTCTACATTATGAACGGCACGCATCAATTACCCTGCATCTAAAGAAGGTTTTAATTATTTACCTTAATTCGCTATAAACATTTTATTATGAGCCAGTTTAGTTAAAATGACCGTACATTAGGAACACATGTTGATATATAAAGTGCTGGTGTTTAGTGTCTCGAAAGAGCAATATACTTAAGTTCGACAGCGGAGGGCATAGACTGGATACTTAGCTATTTATTATTGGTGGTAAGAACTAGAACTTTGAAAACACACAAAGTTTCGCGTGACGCGAGACATCCCACTCGTACTCATCAGATCTGAAGAAGTTGAAAGCTCTCGAATCAGCGTGTAGTGGAAGAGTTGCTTTTGATAATATAGGATATGGCAAATGACTCGACGTCACATTAATTATCCATTCATGTGCTCAGTCTTGGTATTTTGTAGCTTTGATAAAAGTTCATCTAAGATGATGTTTCCTACGCAAGACGCTCTTTAATAAACAGAGCTGATTAAAGTTGAACACCTCTAACCACTTAGCCATGCAAAAACACAACAGAATTTTGTCTTCTAACCTTCGTTTTTACTTCCGACCGCACAGGTTACAACTGGTTATGGTATACTTAATTGAGGGCAGGCCTTCTATGTGACAACAATGCGGTTATTACCTCATTGATGCAGCGGTGACCATGGCGCTGTAGAAACTCCCGGAAAATATTTCCCGCGTCATTCTCGAGAAGCCATTGCAGAGCAACCTGTAAAATGTACAAATACAGAACACAATAACAAAACATTGCGAGTAAATTGCTAGACAAGCCAACTTCTTGTATGAACAAGCTTTATGTTGGAAGAACATCATGTTTTATACGCCGAAAGTACACGTGCATCTTGCAGCTGAAAAAATGCCGCATGCTCTGCGTCCTTTTTAGAAGTGCGTACAGCAAGCAAGTTGGATGGATCAACTATAATCAGCACAGCAATCTCATTTTCGTCACCTGAAAAAAAAAACCACTTCGTTCTTTGTGGTGCGAACCAACAGAGGGCGCTAGGCTTGTCGGCGTCTGCTTTTGTCATGGTGTTATGTTGTCATACTCTATCATAAAGTTAACTTGACACGATTACGTCATCCTATTATGCATGATGACTACAGAAGGTGGTCAAAATTTGTCGCGCAAATATAACGTGATGATGACGTTGCAAAGCAACCTATGTTATCGCTTTGTCAATGTGTAGGCCCCTGCGTCTCATATAGTCTCGGGGTGTGTTCCAATACTCACCGTAGATGGCTTAATAGACAGCTAGATGGACAGCGGCCATTTTAAGTCCCATTCCAATTCTCATGTAGCCGGCAAAAACGACAGCTCCGAGAAGACCACATCGTAGACGAATACGATGCGGGCTAATTTGCTGTCTAAAGATGGCGGCTCAGCGAATCGCTCAGGTTGATCGTATCTCGCCGGATTGTCGTCTGCACACAAGCAGACGCTTCCCCAGACGCTCAATGTGAGTAAAGTTTATTTGTTTTTTGCTTTCAACACGAAGTAGGCCAGAAATTAAGACTGTTACGTTTGTTTATTTTAGCTTTTTCTTCTCGACATGACATCGCGCATCGGCGCGTAAAAGCCGTCGAGACGTGTTTCAATTCTCAGACAGCATGGGCTCAGTGCTATCTTCATAGCAGTCTACGTAGACTGTCTACGTGCTGTATAAGAATTTAAACACAGCCACGGTCAATCAGAGAAGCCGGTATGCGCCACAAAAATTTAATAAATCCCACTACTCGCCGCCAGTGCACTACAATTAAAGAAGGTTATATTTAAGCCAACTAACAGCCAACGACGCAAGTGGAGCTTTCCTACATGCCAAAGATTTGAAACCGGGCACTAAGGAAATAAGAAGCAGAATTAGAAAAAGAAGCGCCTAAAGATTTGCCATTTTCCAGGTTTCATGTCAGCGGAGCTGAAACACGTTTTCCTGGATATATCGGTCTTCCCCAGTTTTATCACGAACATGTTTAACGCAGTGGTCCAACACGACTCAGCTGACATATTTCTGTCGCGTACATGACGTCGTAGAATACAAACTAACATATTGAAAAAAAAATTCGAAGAAAACTTTTGGTCACTGGGCGTTGAAGCAGCGACCTTTCAATATCAGCGCGTGGCTCCAGGCACTGGGCTACGAAGGGCGCGTTTCCGGGAGCGCTAACGGCAACCCATTGATACACGCTATATAGTGTCTGGTGGACCTCAGGGCCTTGGAACTTCAGCGCGTTTGTGTCATCAGCAGCTAGATGGTGCGATGATGTCACTTTGGGTAGTGTGCTTGGGTGTGCGCACCCCACTTTGTGTGTGGCCATTCTTTAAAACGGTCGACGCCGCCGCGCCTCGCGCGTTCGTCGTGTTTTGGCTCACATCGCACTTCGTTTAAACACGTACGCGGTGCATGCTACCTTGTCACCCGTCTGATGTGTAGCGAGTCTCGCGAAATCACTTGATCATATAGGTCAAAGTGCGTGACCCATTCTTAGAATTAACGGAAGATATATTTCTGAAACGGTCCTACAAGAATACTTTTATTGAAAGTGCGAATAACTAGTGACAAGTGGCCGCCAACGAATGCCTCTTGTATAATCTTTTTTGCTATTTTCTATCACCTTTCGTTCATTGCATCGAGTACTTTGGGATGATTTTTGAAACGACGTGCATATTACTTGTAACAGCGTCTCAGATTAGAGTATTAGAAGTTAGGTGCGTGTTTCTGAATTTGTGATACCCGCACTTGTTTCACGTTAACACGATCGAACGTTCAGTGAAGTGGTAATGCCAAATGATTTCGTGGTGCTTGAACCATTCTCATCAGTTTGGTGTCGTTTATAGGTGGTGCTTCGAAATCGTAGTTTCGTTGTCGCGGACGTCTCTTTTTGATTAAATTTTAGTGCAATGAGGTGTGACAATAAAAAGGTCACATTGATAATGAAGTGCCATATTTCACTCCTAGCTGTGTTTTCTTGCGAAGCATGAATTAAAGCAGAAAATTTGGCATTCCAGCTAACCTTGTTTACAATAGCACGTTTTGACTGCATGTATCGGCGTGGAATTCATCGCGCACAGCTTAACTGCTACATGCTGTAAATATCCGCTTGGTAATAATGGGTTCACAACGTGAAACTTCCCATATCTATCAACCTTTGGGTAACCAGCCAGGAATTGTAAATATTACACTGTATTGGATTAGGAATAAACTAGGCAAAATTCATTAGTCATTATAAACATAGCGTCTGTGCAGTGTACGTATTACAAATACCTTGATAAAACTAAAGCAGTACCTTTGTTTTATATGATAAAAATGGCTGCCGCACAAAGAGGATGGCGCAGAAAACAACTGAACACTTCATGAACATGGGAATGTTTGCAGGTCATACCTCGATATCCATGTTCTTGAACTCCTTAGCTTCTGGATGTCTGCTAACTTCTGCCGCAATTTTCTGTTGAGAACCAAAAGGTGCTCAGTATTGTAAAATTGAAATTTATAAACTCACAGGTACGCCCAAAAAACAGATACTTACATACCACTCGCATAGAAATACAGTGAAACTCACATATCAAAGTCACCGAGAAAAAGCAGAAATAAATTGGATAAGTCTTCCAATGCGACATGACGCAGCTAAAAAAGTTGCCAATGTTGTGGTGCCGAACATGGTTTCGCTGCAGATTTGAAGGAAAGCAGCTTTAAGCATTAAGGATTTATTATTTGTTTTTTCTGCATGGCTTGCGCTGGTTGTGGGCGAAAAAATATATGTAAACAGCTACACAACATCATAGTTAAGTAGAATCATCGCGTGTTCGTCCGTTGCCGGAAGCCTCCAGTTTGCCTTCAGTTAGCCTTCATCTTTTTGTTGGCTGCGGGCTTACAGGGATGCTGTACGCAGCAGCTACGTCATACTCCACTTTGTATACGTTCAACTGTTTTGGCCTTCAGCTTTGCGAAAAATAGCCGGGCTTTCTCTGTTTTATGACCGCCATTGCGTCAACAAAGTGAAGTGAGAATCGACCTCAAACATCTGCACCTAAATCGTTCCATACCTTCAAGAGTGATTTCTAAATAAAACACCCATTGTACACCCGTTTTTCTGCTAGTAATCTTCAAAACCCTGTATTGTCTTCTCTTTTTACCTTTCACACACCCATTTTTTTAGTTTTCGTGTATTATGGGCGTCCGCACGGATACAACATTTACGGTTATTTCTTTCAATATGAAACCTATAAGTCCTTACACGCTGTGTCCCAGCCACGGTGCTCGGACATGATACACACTTAGATGTGAAGCTTCTTAAAATCGAACTCAAATCAGTGCGTGGCATCAGCACCTTTAGAGGGCATGGGTGTCCTCTCTCCTTCTGTCGCCTTTCCCAGGTTCTTACGCAGGCCCGAACGCGCAAGCACGTGTGGGCCTGCGTGAGTAGCTGTGTAAGAGGCTGTGGTATCTCCCTTTACACTCTCTCACGGGTCACGTGATCTCTCAGCCATCACGCTATCGCACCGGGCAACGAAAACATGCAGATAAGCAATGATCACACGTAATCTACGTGGAGTGGCGATGAAGCGTCGTGGCGTGCTCGAACAAGAGTTCGGAACGAGTAACAGAAACAGAAACTACTGTGAAATCGAGGTGTGCTCATTTTGCAAGGACGCGTTAAGGTAGGGTAAGGTACCCGTGATGAACTGAACCCTAGGTCGACCCGTCGACCCATACTCTGCTTCGCATCCTACTTCATTTCTTCAATAGGAGATGGTGCAATTTTTTAGAACCTATGCGTTTCGTACAATGTACGTGTGAACGATCATACAGACTTGTGCAATATACACCTGCCACAAGAATGAAGAAACTCAGTTCACTAAGTGTGGCATCGTATTGACAGTCTTTACCATTGTGGTACAACACAAACAGAGGCATCGCACAATCGAATGCTCGCACAAAATTTACCACAGGAAATAAAAGCAAGCTTCAATGCTGCTGCGTGTGAAAAAGCATTTTTTTTAAATGTTATCAACGATTGCTGAATGATGCAATGTTATACAAAACAAGCTGATTGCACATCAGTGGCGTGGCCAGGCTTTATGTAGGAGGGGGGAGGTGAAATAGGAGGAGGAAAAAATGAGGGCCTGGCACCTTCTATATGTAGTAATTTTTTGCCAGTCATTGCATACGTGCGTCTAGTGTTATTGCGGGAAAGTCTGGCTTTGCGCCAACTTCACATGTGCCGCGCAAACCCCTTCTGGGTGCTTACATAGTAGCCTTACTGGTGCTTTTGAGACTCAATAATCCTTTGTTGCAAAATATATTTAGGAAGCTTTAAGATTGAAGTACGTGAATGTTTGGTGCTACATAGCTTTGCTTTGCGTCGGGAAGAGCAGCGAATGAAATGGCTAAACCAGGATCATCCTCATCAAACAGGATTATTTAGATGAAGGCCACGCCAAGCTCGTGAGAAGCGTACAACCGAGCTAGCTTGCAGTGACAGGCTTAGCAGCCGCTTTGCAGATGCCTCTTTGTATGAATACATGTTTTTATTGCAATAACCGAATGCTGACAGTTGTAATTGATACCGACCCGTAGTGTTTGAAAGAGCACGCGCTCAGTATTTTTGCTGCCACCTTCCATAAGGTCAAGAAAATGAAAACTCAACTGCAGCTCAACTGCCAACTTTTGTGTACTTCCAGTTCTTTCGAACACAGAGGCATTTCTGCATTTTTTAATGAAAACTGTACTGAATATATTGTTAGGATAATTGAAGGAGCTAGTGCAAGCAAGAATAACGAAGCCACCGGCCAGCTGACCCAAGTCTGGCTTTTACACAATATTATACAACGAATTAGGGCAGCACAAGAATACTCATTTTACCAACAAATTATTACGCCCATTATGGTGGCTTTTACTGTAGATCTGCTGCTTTTTCTAGGTATGTAAAAAGTGCTGCGGACTCCTTTATGGAACTATGTTTGGCATTCACTGGCGAATCACTGCAGACAATTCATGGATTACATTACAGAGATACTGTGCAGCTACAAGGACATACTCCGCTTCATACCGAGAAAGCTCAAGCCCCCTCCAGAAGTCATCTTACGACCATATCGAAAGGACTCCAGTTTCATATCGTTTCCAGTGCGAGCCTCGGCAAAAGACATCGATGAAGAAGGAACCGGCAGCTTCATGCACTTTGCAGTGGACAGACTCGTGATTCGAAGAAATAAGACGGCAGAAATAGTGCTAGAGAGGTAAGAACTATATACAAAGGTGCTGATATCTGACAAACTGATGTCTGTGGTTTTCCCAAAATGCAACGCCCTTGTCTGCCTTTATTTCAACGTCCTATGTTCAGCGCTGTTTCTTTCCATCGTAATCCCGTACCAAGCAACCCAGTTAAGCACACTTCTGGCATAGGCAGCCAAGGGAGTGCATGACAGTTGGATAAGAAGGTAAATGCAAGGTAACAATAGAGGTAAACGTTTACAAAGCTAAACCTTTGTGATGTGAAAACGCATGGTATACTTGCCTGCAATGCACAAGGCACCTCCGCGCTCCAAACGTCGCCGGCGGAAGTCATGAGAGATCCGAAGTCAGAAAGTACCCTGTCTGACCATTCTACGTATGAGCACATGTAACAAACAGTCAGTATCCAACTGTCACTGCAAGTGCAAATACCATAATAGCTTGAAAACAAGCGCCGACTAAAGTATGGCTGGTATCGACATTGACTATGACGCCCATAAAATGAAACACAAAATGACAGAGTATAAAGTCGTAAGAGACCGACAATGTGAGTGCAAGCTGATTTATTCTCTCAGCCTGCTTAACAACATTGTTTTCAAATCAGTTCGATTCATTTTGTTTCACTTTTCTTAAAATGCGCACAAATATTACAAATTGAACAAAAAATGTTTTGCACAATTTATGGCATAGAATAATAACAGAAAAGCACTGAATAATATTACCTTAAAAATAGGCAAGTTCTCACCCAGGGCCTCATCCAAGGTCTACGAACACAACTTAACCTCAAAACTACTTTGCATCGCTGATTTCGTAGAATCTGCTGTCTGCAGTCATCATACAAAGCAATGTTTTACTAGTAAAAAGCAAAATGAAAGAAAGTGTAGCCTAAAATTCCGAAAACGTTTTCCAAAATATAGCCCAAACACTTACACCAATGTCAAACGAGTATCCAGACGTATCATCGTTGCGTGACAGCATTGTAATGAATGTTATCCCAGCCTGCTGTTTTCAATATACATATATATATATATATATATATATATATATATATATATATATATGTATGTATATATATTTATATATATATATATATATGAATGTGTGTGTGTGTGTGTGTGTGTGTGGGATAGCAGCGAATAATAAGACATTTAAGGGACACGCATAGAGAGAGAGAGAGAGAGAAGGAATGTAGGAAAGGTAGGGAGGTTAACTAGACTATGCGTCCAGTTTGCTACCCTACACTTGGGGAGGGGAGTAAAAGAGAGAGAGGATAGACACATGTCACATCGCACACACAAAGCCGAGTTTCACAGGCGGTCCCTCAATGAAGTTGCTGTCAAGTATCTCAGGAAGGCTCGTGTGGCTTTCTGTGCTGATGTGCTGCGCGACCAGGCTCCTAAAATCTTTGCTTCATTAAGGGGCACGCATAAATGGCCGAAGAGACGGATGAGGTGGCTCGTACTGCTGAAAATTAGGCGTTTTTTGCGCGTCCAGGATGAGCTTTCAAAGGCGCAACGCACCAGTCTTCTGGTGACAAGAAATACAGATACGGTATGAGTAGGCTAGAGTTCACGATTGCTATCATTAGAGCATCAATTACAATGTTTACTTTCACATTAATTTTTGCAGGATAAGTTTTCAAGTACACTCTGGTAACTTTTATTATTAGCAGTTAGACCTTGTTCAGCAATTACCACCCTATTCCTGAAACATCAGATTCCTCTTGTGTTCGAGTGGAGCACGCGCTCAATAGTAATGTGCACCTTGAATTAATTGAACATCACGTTCACCGAAAGTTGCGTGCAAACTCGAGCTGTTCGCAACCACATTTCACGGTATTTCTTACCAAGGCGTGTTTGTGAATGCTAGTGCAAAGTTAAATTTTCAAGGCTAGAAATGCGAAGTTGCCACGACGATTTCGCGTTTCATAATCAATAGTAAGTACGGCGTCACCAGATGTGCATAATCTGGCAAAAATTCAAAAACCAAAAGCTGTCAAATGATAGCGAAATAACCAGGGTAGATTCTGTGCCCCCCACAACCCTTTAATTGGCCTAAGCTGGCAACTCTTGACTTCTTATACAGACAACAACGTATCGCGAATAATTCAGTGAACAATTTTCTAAAGATAAATATACTGAAGTATAGCTTGCTATTTTATACAGTACGGTTATGAGCAATACCGCAGTGAAGCAAAGAAAGGAAGGAAAATAGGAGGAAAAGAACGGCAGGGAGTTTAACCAGCCCATAGGCACCCTGTTTGCTACCCTGCGCTTGGGAGGGGGATAGGGGAGATGAAAGATAAAGAGCACAGAGAAAAGAGAAATAAACAGAGCACAATCGGCAGTGCACGTGCGCACACTCAGTCGTAGTCACGTCTTGTCTTTCGCGGTGTGTGACATCGCTGTTACAGCCACTTGTTCAAGTTCGTGTCGTGTAGGAATTAAACCAGAGCTACTGTCGCCTTCTGTTGCAATGTCTTCTCTCGGGCACTTTAAAGAATAGTGTCCACAGACAAGTGGCTGTTGTTGATGCGCGCAAGAACGAACGCCAGTTACTGTCTCTGGATGTCATACAACGGACAGCCACACATGATGTGGTGTAGCGTCTGTTCGCAACGACAGGCATCGCAGAGTGCGTTGTCGGCCATTCCTATGACAAATGAATAATAGTTTGTAAATGCCACTCCTAGCCATAAGTGCTGAAGAAGGGTGGCTTCTCTTTGGTCAAGCCCAGTGGGCATGCGTAGAGCCATCAAAGAGGACAGGTGGTGTTGACGATTCGTCTCGTTGCTTCGTGGGCACCATAGTGAAAACGTGATTTCACGTGCAAGTCGTCCAATATTACTGGCTGCATCGGTCTGCGAAAGTGTTGTGGCTTCTTCTCGTGTTCCTTCAAGAGCTGCCCGCGCGGCAGTATCGGCATGTTCGTTCTCTATGATGCCGCAGCGACGTGGCAGCCACTGAAACGTCACAAGATGTCCTTTCTCGTGTGAAGTGTGCAGAAGGCATCGAATTTCAAAAACAAGCTGTTCGCATGGCCCGCGACGCAGTGGTGGCAGCACAGATTGTAGGGCAGCGCTTGAGCCGCTTAAAATCAACCGTTGTTGCGGAGGTTCCCGATTGACCACACAAAGTGCAGCAAGCAAAGCAGCTAGTTCCGCTGCTGTAGATGCCGTGGAGTGGTCAGTCCTAAAGCTGATAGTAATACCGCACTGAGCCTAATTTCGACAACATAAGATGAATTGACGGCCCCTTATTCAGTCAACACCACAGTTTTCTTTGTTATCGCACAGTTGAATATGAAGTCGTCGTTTTTAAAAGCTATAATGAAACTCGATGCGTAATTGGGAAAAAGAAATCAACATCTGAGCCACCATTTAGTTGGTAAGTATACTGTATGATGGCCTTCACTGCCCTTTTCTTCTCTGTTTCCATGAAGGGGCTTGTCATATTATAGTTTCTGTTTAGGTATCTTGGCTGAATACTCGTCAGTTTCAATCTACTTTAATACAAATATACAGAAAAGCGATTAGAAAATACACAAGCGATTTCGCTGTGTACTGCATGCACATACATTGTATGCAGGGTGTTTCAAGAAATCTGCACACTATTACTGAAAATATACAGTAGGTATAGTTATCTGCGTGCTACCTGCAGCGTTCCTTTTACTGTGGCCGAATGCATGTTCAGATAGGTGTGAACAATATTTTTGCCATAATTTTGGAAATTAGCATAAATAATTTTTCAAGCAGTGGAAGTGAGTGGTCGAGTCAAATGAACAATTGAAAGTACCGCCTGCAAACAGCCTATAGACACTCTGAAATTTCTGAAAGGCGGCCCCAGGTACTTGCCACGCAGTGATTGAATCTGTCTAATGTAGCTGGTGAAAACAAAATCACGCACCAAGCAGCGCATCAGCTATGCACTTCCAAAACTCCCTCATTGACTACACAGTTTTTCTGCCTGTTATTAACCAACTGTATCGTGGCAGCACTTTTCTGTCCCATGGCTGCTTAAAGACACTCACTTGTCCTCCTCCTTCGATGCGATGCAAGCTGTATTGTCACGAAGGTGATGGCTGGCCACCATTTAGTTGGGCGGAGAAAAGTAGACCACGACGGCAATAAAACAAAATATACATTGGGATAACTTGTGCCCGAAAAAAAACTCAGACGTACTGTTTGGCAACAGCCATTAGAAAAAAACAGGAGGGGCGTATACGGCGACTTCTTATCTACCCTCCCATCGCAACACATCTGGCCATCCGACAGGGCACGAATGCACTTGAACACATGCAAGAAGATAATCAGATAAGCCAGTTTATTTTTAAATAAACGTGGAATCACCCTCCGTGAAAAAGAGCATGATCTCGATGCTAAAATAACACACTAGAAATTAATTAAACAGCAAACACTGGTACATAACAAACACAGAACTTGAAAATGTATTTAGTTCGTTAGCACTCAAAGAACCCCTTGAGCCGAACAACATCAACTATTTCTGGTTGAGGGCCTCGTCGTTGTGATTGTGTCACCCCATCAGGCACGACTTCCTAGACTTAGGACCCTAGGCATCGCGTTATCTTCTACGGTCCAAAATATCGGCACAAAAGTTTCTCGCTGAGACCTCGGTGGCGAATCGGTTTCCACACCATAACGCAATCACCTGGTGCACACTGCTGGTGGGCGCAAGTTGTAAAGCCTGGAATCAGTGAACTACTGCTCTTTGATGCGCATTTGTGCGAGCTGGCAGGCTTCCTCGGCACGTTGAAGAAAGCCTGTGTCGTCCCCATAGGTGCTACCGTAGTCTACGTGAGGCAACATTGCATTCAGCAAGGTGATGACTTGCCGGCCGATTACGAACTCGAAGGGTGTTTCCTGCATTGTCTCCTGTTGTGCTGTGCTGTACATGATTGTGACGTACGGGGGCACTTCGTCTCAGGTCTTATGGCCGAGCAAGGTGGTGACTTGCCAGCCGAATACAAGCTCGAAGGGTGTTATCTGCGTTGTCTTCTGTTCTGCCGTATTGTGTGTGAATGTGACGTACGGAAGAACTTCGTCCCAGGTCTCATGGCCAACGTCGACGTACATGGCGAGCATGTCTGCGAGGGTCTTGTTCATACGCTCCGCAAAGCCGTTCCTCTGTGGATGGCCGGCTGCGGCTTTGCGATAGTGTGACTCAAGCGCAGAATCTGCTGCGTGAGGTCTGAGGGGAATGCCGTACCTCTTTCGGTGATGAGAACCTTAGGTGCCGGAGGACGGTGTTCTTTACGAAGAAGCTCGCTACTTCCCTTGCATTGCCAGGTGATAATAACGCTGTCTCGGCGTATCTTGTGAGGTAGTCCGTTGCTACCGCTATCCATTTGTTCTC